TATTTTGATTCTTATATCTGTAATTATATATATTTTTTACACCATATTATTTTACAACTATTTTTTTCTTATTTGTCTTTTTGATTTAAAAAAATTATACTTTCTATTTGTCATATATATATATATATATATATTATTTTTTTTTAACAATTGCATTGTGCCCCCTCTGAAACAAAATTCTGGCTCCGCCCCTAGTAATAGTTACATCTTATTGTCTACGTCCTCTCTCTCTCTCTCTCTCTCTCTCTCAAGTTGGTGATACTTACACCTTAATCTTATAAATTTATCATTAATATATGTATATATAATATACATATTATATATATGTAAATAATATAATATATATTTTTGGAGTTATCATTAAAAGTCATGTAAAGGAAAATAATAAAAAAATAAAAAAAATCTACGTCTTTCTCTCAAGTTGGTGATCCTTATCTACCATTAATATATATATATATTATAGAGACATATATTAAAGTTGTATATACTTATACTATATAGTTTGTAGTTAATTCACAAAATGATTATAAGAAGGTCGGTGGGTCATGTTTAAAATAGAAAAAAATCAAACTAAACGTCTGTAGTAATTATTAAAAGTCATGTGAATAGGTCCCGCATAAAAAATGTTTAACGTTGATATCACGTCTTCCAGAATACGAAATTCCAAAATTTCGTAGAAGGCTGTTGATGGAGGCCAAGCGATTGTTTGATCAAAATCACTCCGAATTTGCATTCGAATTTGAATTTGAAATTAAACAATAATAATAATAATTCAATTTTAATATGCTAATTTGATGCTTCCAAATACAATATGAATATTTCAATCTATAATCTCCCAAATAACCAAACGGTGAACAATGCCAATCACTTTGACGGTTAAGAACAAATTAAAGCATTTTTATATATTTTATATGAACTTGTAGGGGGTGCATGGTGGGAATTTTTTTTTTAAAAAAAAATAATAAGAATAAGAAAAAAAAAAATATAATAAAAAAGGGAAAGAAAAATAAAATTTGAAAGAAACAAATTAGAGCATGATTAAATAAGAGAAATTTGACCTTTTTAAAAAGGTAATTAAAAAAATTTAAAGAGAAAAAATTATAAAAAAAATGAAAACTAATAATTTTAGGGGCATAATATACTAATTTCTATATACATATGTAAAAAATAAAATAAAAATTATATATATACATAGAGCAAGTCTGGCCAGGGGCATGTGCCCGTGAGCACACACGACTCCACCACTGCCTGTAATATTATTGGACCATTTAGTATATTCAAAGAGACCATAATTTCTGATTTTGTAAAACAATTCTTTGTTGAAATATAATTTTATTGACAACATTTCCCATCTACAAGAAGCAGAAACTATCATACAGAGTCATTCATTTTACACAAAATCAAACCAATTTCGAGTTGAGAAATAACATATACAGATCAATATTTTTGTTTCAATGATTAAACACACACGCACACACACATATACGGAGTATATTCTAATAATCTACAGGCTATCATTTTATTTAAAGTAGAAGATATTTGGTTTAGACATTTCCTATATACACTATTTTTATATTGGTCCTTATATCAATTTGGCTCTAGTCATAAAGAGGTGGAAGAAATCATGTAGGGTGGAGCAAAAAAAAGGGTCCCTTGATCAGGAATCAAGATTATTTTTTCTTTTTTCATTTAAATTTTCTTTCACATTTCTTTTTCTAATTAAAAAATAAAAAGTTGATATGACACATTAAATAATCAGCAACCTTATGGTTATGGGTATGGCGTCCTCTTCATTCAATTTTTTTTATTTATTAAAATCCTTGTGATTGATGATTGTTCTTGTAAGGATCTCAAGAGACAAAATGATCTATTATCTTAGGATGTAGAATATTTCACATTCGATTCTTTATGTGAATTTTGTGGTAATTGCACGCTCAAAAGGAAAATAAAAATTTTTAAAATAAAACAAAAATCATAGGAAGTCTTCTTAGAGAATGCTTTCAGTAATAATGAAAGGACGTGCTTTGAGTACCTACTTTTTTTTTTTTTCCCTTTTTTTTTTTTTTTTTTTTTTTTCTTTCCTGTCATACTTTCTATTGAGCATTTAAGACAAATGACATGCTCTAGTAGAAAATAATCACGTGAGATTATTAATGTTACTTCTTTTTTGAATAGTGGACTGTCAGCTAATTAATCTGTGTCTTCATGTGAGACTATTCGTCTTTAAACACCTCGTATACTCCACAATGCCATGCACTAAGTTTATTCAAATATATATGTGTGCGTGTATATATATATATATACACTAGCAAGATTAGTCTTAAGAAGAAATTATTACATGATCAGATTTTATAGTCCCAATCAATAATAACTCGACAGATAAGTTAAAAATTGAATAAAATTGATATATTTAGTTACGTATCAAATTATGATTGAATGGAACCATAAAGTAATCATATAAATTTTTTTGACCGAAGATAATAAAATATATCATCAGTCTTGGGAGTTGACCAATAATTTCACTCCTGGATCCATTTAGTAATCATATAAAATTAATCGGACTTTAGGAAGATAATAGAATATATCATCAGTCTTGGAAGTTGACCAATAATTCGTCCCTCTTTGGGCATTGAAAATTGTTAATTTTTGCTAATTTATACAATGTCTTATGATTCTTCAATTTTCAATTGGCCCACGTTATTGGGTGAAATTCAAGATTTCATATCATATTTGTTATTTTTATCTCTTTGGAGTAATTCAAAGTTACTTTGTATATATTAATGTTCTCTGAAGTTAAATGCGTTTATGATATTTCTTACCAATATCTTACAACAGCATTGAGTAATTAATGTCATTATTGTTATTGTTATTTTTTCAAATAGCTTTGAAAACTACAAATGAACTAAATGCATGAAACCTTTTAAGATTTCAAATCTAGCTCATCTCTTTCATTTTCATATCTAATTTTGCCTTTTTAAAAACAAAATAACAATTTAATAATCATTGGATTGAGATCTTATAATGAGTAGTTAGGTTTCATTTTCCATCATGGATATGAAATGAATAATATATATTAGAAATGAGAAAGTCCCAAGTTACAAGCTTTGTTAAAAATTCCATTATTTCAGGGGCGGTTGACTATAGAACATCACTCAACCATACAAGAAAAGGTCAGAATGGGAATATGACATTTGTACTACTGGACATGGGAATAGGTTTCATTTTCCATCATGGATATGAAATGAATAATATATATTAGAAATGAGAAAGTCCCAAGTTACAAGCTTTGTTAAAAATTCCATTATTTCAGGGGCGGTTGACTATAGAGCATCACTCAACCATACAAGAAAAGGTCAGAATGGGAATATGACATTTGTACTACTGGACATGTGGCCAAGATTTATAAGAGTCTCACTCATATTTAAATAAATAAAACAAATTGTAAGTTTAGCTCAAATCTCATTATTAAACTTTGTAAACCTAGTTGTTTTCCATGAACTCTATTATTATCCATTCCTGTTTATATATCTTCATATCTTTTGGTAGGTGAAGCTATGGATCATGTATTTTGAAAATGACCAATAAACCATTACTAAATAGCGTAAACTACTAAATAAAGGGTAAGAAAGTAAATGCAATAAAGTGAGCGTCCATCTCCCGTCTAATTAGACTTGAATGACTTTTAAGAGGATTGCTTTGAACATGATTATGATAATTGTCCAATCTCATATTTTTTTTAATGTCATTTCTTTTTGCTTTTCCTTTTTTTTTAATAAAGTATTTTTATTTATTTATTTATATAGTAAACAATAGGGCTAAGTATCTAAAACATCCCTAAAGTTTACTTTTTGAGCAAATAATATTCCTCTTTTTCCCAAAACGCCCTTCCCTTTTGTATATAAATCTCATAAATAAAGGATATAATAATAATTTTATATCAACAGAATTTTATTTAAATTTTTTTTTAAAATTATAGGAAGAGTATTTTAGTATTTTTATCACTCCACTAAGAAATTCTTATTTACTCCTGCAATAAACGTTAATGGAATTTCAGAACTTATAAAAGAGTATGAGCTATATACATACTGAAGAAATATTAAATTCTTACTAGCTAAAGCAAATCAAATTCAACGGCATACCCTTGAAAACAGAAAAAGGATCTCAGATCCACATAACCAAGCACAAAGCCAAATAGGTAGTAGCAGGACATGAAAAGTCTCACACTACATCATGAACTAACATACTAGCTAACCCCAACACTTCCCACCTTTTGCAACATCTTCTACTCCTCTCGCACCAGATTTACCACATGACACTGGCAAATATCCTCCTCCGAGCCTTGTGTCTAATCTTTCTTGAGACAGACCATTGCACAAGCTGGGACGTCGGCCACATTGCTGCAGTTTCCAGTGAAGAAATTTAGACAACCAATTCCAGATAGAAACTAAAAATGGACAAGTAACCAAAAAAAAAAAAAATGATCCAAGTCATCACAACTAATTTTCTTAATTAGAGGGTTTAAATTAGATTGGGCTACCAAGTGCAAGTGGTTTACGATTATCTAATAATTTCTTTTATTTATTCGTAATTCAACTTCAACACTATTGATCAACAGATGCATGCACAAATTTTTAGTACTGTTTGAAAATGTTTGATAAAGACCAAGGTTCAGGACTCAGTATGAAAATATTTTCCAATCTTATGGTTGGATGCAGCTGGATTGGACCGGCTATAAGTCTTTTTACACTTATTTTTTAAAAAATGGGATACTAGTAGTAAATTGATTATTGTATTGCAAATTGTCACTTCGACTATTGATAATGTTGCAATTTGCACCCCTAAAGAGTGTATCTTCCAACATTTTTAATACTAGTTGAGGGGAACAAATTATAATGGAATGCAAGAACTTTAATAGTACATGATTGTGTGTTTTTTGGGTTGTAATTTGCAAATTTTTCTTTCCCTGTAATAAAGTTGTAACCATCTTTCTAAGGAACCAAACACCGCCTATGAAACTCCTCAAACAAACAAGTCCTAACCGTATTAACCAACATTGTCCCGCCGCCCGCGTTATGCTAACCCTAGCATCATTACAATTTTTTTTTTTTTTTTTTGAAAAGACAACTTTCTATTTATCCCCAAAAACACGTTTGGAAGATTCTCAAAGTTCAAAGTTCAAAGTTGAAGAGTTGATCAACATAGTCTATGTAGACTAAATAAACACACACATTTTAATATATATCTACATACCTTCCATATAAACAGCCCGCAATACATATATACCTCCTCCTCCTCCTCCTCCTCCTTGCTCTTTATATCTATTATATATGAAAACAACAATTCTTGACCCATGTCTCCATCTCATGCCTTCTCTCCCCTTCAAATTCCAATCCTGAAAAAAAGTTTTTGCAAAATGTTTGATTACAGGAGACTCATCCTTTCCAAATTTTCCATCTTCTCCACCATCTCCTTTGCCGCCGTCTTCTTCATCATCATAATCGCCGGCAGTTTCATCTTCAACGTTTCACTCCATTCAGTTGTTGCCAAAACTAAATACACTCACCAACAACTGCAGAGTCATATCAAACCCTCACAATTCATCCCATCTTCAATACACCATCTTTTACTTTCGGTTAAAGAAGATGTTAATGTAACATATGTTGAAGATCATACCCATTTGGCGATTCCATTGAATGTCACCAATCAAGAAAGAATTGCTTGGTTGAAGAGAAAATTGCCACAGTTCGAGCTATTCAAGAAAACCAGATTAACAGGGCAATTTGACAGCAGAGTACAGGAATTTATTGGTAAAGGGTGCGAGGTTCAGTTCTTCATGACATGGATATCTCCGGCGAGGTCATTCAGGGAAAGAGAGTTTCTTTCCATGGAGAGTCTTTTCAAATCACACCCTAATGGATGCTTGATGATCATATCAAGAACTATGGACTCTGCATATGGGTATAGGATCTTGGAACCCCTTCTTGACCGCGGATTCAGGGTTCTTGCAGTCACGCCGGACTTGTCATTTCTGTTCAAGAACACTCCGGCTGAGGTGTGGTTCGACGACATCAAGAGCGGGAACAAGGACCCCGGTGAAATTCCATTGGCACAGAACCTATCCAACCTCATCAGACTTGCAGTTCTCTACAAGTATGGAGGAGTTTACTTGGACACAGATTTTATAGTTTTGAAAGATTTTTCAGGTTTGAGGAATTCGATTGGAGCGCAAAGCGTGGATGTGTCCGGTAACTGGACAAGATTAAACAACGCAGTGTTGATTTTTGACAAGAATCATCCACTTTTGTATGAATTCATTGAGGAATTTGCCTCCACTTTTGATGGAAGTAAATGGGGACACAATGGACCATATTTGGTTTCTAGAGTGGTTGAAAGAGTGGCAAAAAGGCCTGAATACAACCTCACAGTCTTGCCACGGATGGCATTTTATCCGGTTAGTTGGAGTCGGATGGCTGGTTTGTTCATAAAACCGGCTAATCGGATTCAATCAAAGTGGGTGGAAGCCAAGCTGCGTCAGTTAGGTGAAGAAACATATGGCATTCACCTATGGAACAGAGAGAGTAGCAGATTGAGAATCGAAGAAGGAAGCATCATCGGCAGATTAATCTCGGCTCACTGTGTCATTTGCCATAACATCTATAGTTCTTGAAGAAACCCCCCATCAACCCCTTAGCTGAATGGCAAAGCTTCTTCAGCTAAGCGGAGTTGCTTGTCGTGAAGAGACAGACATTGAACAGACAGAATCCTCTTATTCAGATTCATATTAGCTCATGCTTTGCTTAAATAAGCTTTCAACTCAACGTACTTCAAAAAAATTTCATTCACTCAATGATTTTTTGGTTTCTTCTTGTTTTTAACATTTCCAATGTAAATAAGAAATTGTTCATATGTGAAATTGTAATTGATGAATATAAATACATACGAAATTGTTTGTTTCCTAACAGAGGAATTTCAATTTAATCATAAGTATGTACATTCATATCAGAACTTTCTACCACAGATCATAATCCTCAACCTAATTCTCAACCTTAACCGGAACCTGAAGCATCTGAATCTCCATATCCTGAATCTAGGCAATTTCCTAAATGACTTTTTTCTAGTCAACTTGTGCTTGCTAATTCTTGTTTTCTTATTTGGGAAGACAGACTCACCATCCATGAAGCTACCCTCTGAAGCCAACACTTTTTGACCGTCGCTTGCAGGACCAATGACCGGTCCAATCTGCTTAATGGACACCCAAGGATCAACATGAATTCCATCATCAGTATCACTGCCCCACAATAAAATAGGTTTGATTATCGGCGAACCACTGTAATCATTTAAATGAGTTGCCAGAGTAGTATGCTCCATGTCAAATAATCTTCCCAAAGATGTGCTTCCTCCCTTCATCAATTCTAACAAACTGTTACTTCTGCGCGAGGAAGCAAACGAAGAAGAGGAAGCAGCCGCGGAAGAAAAGGAAGACGATGATGAAGATGACAGATACAGAGATTTCTGGTACTCTATGATCTGCCTGATCTTGTTCTTCTGAGCTTCCTTGTCCATGATGAAAAGGGCCTCTTCTTCATCTTGCTCTTCAGTAATTTCTGATACCATTATGCTCTAAATTGTTTAAGACTTGTGCTCAATGAACTTGTAGAAAAAGAGTAATTTTGACACACAAGCTGAGAAGCATAAAAGAAAAACATGGGAAATCTACAGGAAGGAATTGAGATGGCTGAAACTCCCATTAAAAAAATGTGAAGCCGGCTATAAGAAAGAAATAGCTTCTATTTTAATAGTTTAAAAGTTGATTTATTTAAGAAAAGACAATATGCAAGAATCCATTAGCCAATTCAAGGTATGCAATGCATATCCACATTAATTGGGAAAGAATTCTCTGATTATCTACTAATGTTAAAAAAAATTAAAAAAAAAATTCCCAGAGAGTAATCAGACCTATATTTACAAACAAGCAAAGGAAAGACAAGTATGTTGACTATCAAGAAATGTTTGTTTTCCTGGCTCTTCTCTCAGAATGAAAATCTGTGTCAAGTCCGGATAAAAGTCGTTTGAACTGTGTTTTATATGATATTTGTCAAACAAGAATTTTACATGATTATACATGAAGAACTTCTGATATGGGGCATTTTTAATCTGACTACATCACATGAAGAAACTTCATCAAATGAGCCAAAACTTAAGACACCTTCAAAGTTCACTCGTGTTGTACAATTGTTCTCCCATGTCACGAAGGAATCCTCGTATGCATTTTGCTAAGAAGAAACATCTAAAACAAAATAAAGAACTAACGTGAAAAGCAAGAAAAATGATGTTGACAAAAACATTGTAGATTCTCCAACCATTCTATTAACAAAAATGTAATATAATCATGAGATCTAGGATGGCATTAGCAGAATAATACATATAGTCGTTCAAGACTCTTATTTTCAAGTTTCAACCTTATAAGGTGGTTTCATTCTAAGTGTTTAGAAATTGGGTCTTCAATTTTCAAATAATTCAATTTTCATCAAATTGAGCCAAACCAACCCAAAGTTTTCAAATAATTCATTCGAAGTGTTTAGAAATTGGGTCTTCGATTTTCATCAAATTGAGCCAAACCAACCCAAAGTTGAACTAGTTCATAAGTATCCGAAAAGATATACACGGTGAAAATCATTAGGTTGCCTCTCCATGGTTCACTGAACACCGTAATAGCCATAAAAACTTTGAAGGGCATACAGAGGTGTAAAAGTGGCAGCTGCTGAGTGAAATTCTCGCTGACCAATATGTAATTTCAGAATTATTATTATTGTTAAAGTGCAAACAAAAATCTAGTTATATGCCAAATGTGCAAGTACGTCCTTGGTGTTCCAAACAGTTTTGTCACACACTAAGATACCTAGAATATTCTTAGGACAAAAAAAAAATAAAAAACGCTAATTAAAAATTTTTAAAGGTATATTAAGGGTATTTTGGAATTTTTAGAAAAAAATAATTTGTCGAAAAGAACTAGTAATAGAGATTAGTGATCAATTTACACATACTTTTAAATGTTAAGAATTTATACCCACATACTAAGTAGCAAAGCTTCTTTTTTTTTTTTTTTTGTATATTTTTTTTTCTCTCCACACTTTACCCTTACTATTATTAATTTTTCTAGATATACACATCAGGAACTCTTGTTCTATTTGGCTCAGTTTTGATATTAGTAGAAGGGAACCTTATCAATGATGAAATTTTCCTCACTGGTAAGATTGGTTCGGTTTAAACATAATATAAAAATCTAAATTTAAAACTAATCTGAATGAAGTACTAAACGATTTTGTAAAAATTAAATTTTTTCGAATTGACACCAAGGGTCGAGCAACTTTCTTACCTTTCAAAGTAAAAAAAGTGAATGATTCAAATCTCCTTCAAAATAAAGTGGATATGTGAGTGAATTTTTTATCGAAATAAACAAATTAAAAATAAAAAATAAATTATACAAATTGAGTTTTTTTAGACAGACTAACAAGAGTGTTTTTTCCTACCCACAGCCGAATTATAACCATTTTAACAAGCAAAGCAACGTTTTTAATAACAAAAGTGTACAAGTAACCAGACACAATGCAGCCTTGCTCTCTCAGGATTTTCACCACTGTAGATAAGAAACGAGATCATCTTCTCCCGAAAATTTATAAAAAGATTATGAGTATCTCTCTCTGCATTAAGACAGAGGAGCAAGTAAGAATTTTAATTAAGTATCAAAATATTCCGTTGTGTAAAAAATGTACTAAAAACCAATGTCCAATTCAAAAGATTGAGACTCACATGATGTAGTTGTAGTGGGCAACACCGGTGACTGTCTGCATGCTTTAAGCCATGGGTTTATCTCAGGCGCTGTGAACGGTGAAGACCAAAAGGTTGGATAGGTTTAGGGTTAAAACTTAAAAAGTGTATATATAATATATTTGTGTATATATATATATATATATATATATATATATATATATATATATATATATATATTACGGAGTATAAAAGTACCGAATCCATCTGTTCAGATATTTTTGTAACCCAAATTTGCAATTGGAGCAGATCCCTGCGGCTTATTTATTTCTGAAACCGTGACCGAATCCAGCAATTAAAATATCAATTCGAACTGCACGAATTGAGATAAATCGAAGTAATGGATCAAATGAATATTCCCATTCATGAGCTTTTATATGCACTTGACTGTTTCCTCACCCACTTGGCTTGGCTGGCCTGGCTATACCCCTTGTATACCTGTAATTTTATTATTATTATTATTATTATTATTATTATTATTTGTATGTTTTCTCTTTTAATACACTTTATTTAATTACCAAAAATAAAAAGTTATACTAAAAAAATCATTGTTTATTCAAAATAAATCGTAGTGACTGAGAATTCAAAGAACTGTGAGGCAAGGAACATTGAATTGGAATAAAATATAGAGAAAATGCCATAGGCAATAATAATTAATAAATGACTTTAAAAAAAAAAGGAATTAATAAATAGCAAGAATGTCAACTAAATGAGCGCAGTACAAGATTACATACAGATATTATGACAATGAAAGCAAAAAATGTTCCTATATATAGAGGACTGTTTACTTGTTTAATGGTGTGTAAGAAATTTATGCATGAATTAAATTTTAATCATTAAATGTAAAAGGATAATATATATATATATTTCAAATCTAGGTGTTCTACTATAGAGCAAATTTTTTTTGTTTATATATATATATATATATATTTAGGGTAAATCAATTCAAGTAAGAAGAATCCAAAAGCTGCACAAGAAAATAATAACCCAAACAACAGGCCGAAAGCCCACAAGCCCAAAGTCAAACAAAGGCCCACAAGGCAAAAACAAACAAATACAACCAAAAACCCCACAGCTGCACCAACAGAGCAAAGGGGGAGCAGCGAGTTGGAGAGGCATGGAAGGGAGAGACTTAAGGACCTTCAATCACTGAGTTGGGTAGACTCCAAGCAGCAGCGATAGTTCTTGATTCCTTGTTATCCCGCAGTTTTCAGCTTGCTTCATGCCCATCGATCATTAGTAATATTTTCCTAAAGTACGTAGTTGCTTGTTTTACCTAGCTAGCTATTATATAAATGAATGCAGCATCTATATATACTATCATTTACTCCTTTTCCCATGTAGTAGAATCTATTTCCCAAACCATTTGCAGTGAATTCTAGACCCAGATTGGTTAACTAAAGAATCCATTCTTTGTATAATGGTGAGATTTTGGAGCTCAACATGAGAATGCCATAGCCAAAACATGCCAATTTTGCAAATAGTCAGGTTTTGTATAAAACTGTCAAATATTTATTTACATGTTTTGATTGTCCTTTCGGAACCATTGATTTACTTTGTGGTATGTTTTAGTCAATGTAAAATAAGATTCAATTTCTCATTGTTTGGACGTAAAATATTTTTTAAAATTTTTTTTTTAATTTTATTTTATGGTGTTTGATTGTCGTAAAATATTTATGAAGAAAATAAATATTAAAATTTAAGAAAAATAACTATTTATCAATTTTAGACAAGTTATTTTACATGTCCTGTCTGATGGACTCGATCTCAATCTCAACGTAATCCTTTACCAAATACTGACAAAGTAAAAATAAAAAAGTTACCAAATCATGGATATGATTAGACAAAGGTTACTTACAAGAAAGGTTAAGGATTCGGCACAGGCTAGAAGAGTGCAGCTTGATTGGGATTTGCCTGAATTTATCCGGCCACTGCCGGAGCCACTGGACTAACTGATCGGCGAGATGGTGTCGGATCAGATCTGCCTCGTCCGCCGTCTCTCACTGCTCTCAGAGTTAAATCAGCTTCTTGGTTTCCTCTCTTGACAGTGATCGGCGGGATGATTTCTGATCTACTCTGTCGCCGTCCTCTTCCACAAACCGGACT